TGTTCTTTTCAGTCACATAAGGTGTTTAATTTACTGTCACACCATAAAAACATTTGCTTAATAAATGAACATGGCCAGCTTGCCATATGATATGGAAATAGATGCCCATAAGAATGAAAGATTAGTCGACAATGATATAGCCTAAATACACTTCATAAAGTCTTTATTGTAAGATTCTGTCACTAGGATAAATTACATAAAAACCACACTGTCTTCTATATAGAATTTTGAGGATAATATTCGGAATGGAGATATAAACAGGCTTATCATTAGTCAGTTACATTAAAAAGGGAAAACAGAAGTTTTATTATTCCTTTGTACTCAAGTCAGAGGTAATATTGCAGTTACTGGACCCTAAAGGTACTGGTCATATATGCTCCAGTAATTCTACACATGGTAACGATTCTTATTTTAACATTTGCAATTCATAGCTGCACTTTTGTGTAAATTTTCTGTTTTCCTTGGTTGTCCTTTCTCTGGTATAATGGCTCTTTCACGGGAGTTTTGGCAACTGTTGTGTGCTGATCTTTGTGCTTCAGACAAGCCTATGGCAAGTCTCAAAATGGTGAGAAATACATGCTTCTAAAATGCAAATATATCTGACCCTCTTAGCTCCTCTGTTCAGACCTTGCCCCTTCAGTCATACTTCACCTGAATATGGTCGGGGATTTAACTGGTATGTATGATTTCTGTGTTTTTTCCTTACTGTTTCTTGTAAGAAAAAAGCATGAAAAGCTCTATCAGGAGAACATTGCCTGTATCCCACTGAATAGCTGAAATGACAAAGGACTTTTAAGATTCCTAGAACGCTTTTAATCCAACCTTACTTCAACTATAAAATAATTTGTTTGCTTTTCTGGCACGTTTTGCTAATATATGTGTATATATGCCCTTACATATGTAGACAAACAAGTTCTCCGTTCCCGGGGGGCGGCGGGGCGAGCCGTGTCGCTGTCCCTGGTGCTGAACCCGGGAGCGGGGCCGAGAAGCTGCGGTCCCCCCAAAGGGTCCGAGGGTACACGCGCCTCCTGCAATCCTTCCTTCACAAGGGATGTGACACTGGTGTCCTCACGGCTGGGAGCAGGCTGACGTACTGCACATGCCAGGGCTGCTGTGGGGAGTCCTCGCCCTTGCTTCTGTGTTGTTTACTGGACAATTTGTCTCTTGGAGGGGATGTGGCAACTCCTTTTGTAGCGTGTGAAATGAATAAAGAGGGCTATCCATAGAAGAAACAGGAGATGTGCCGGAACACGCAAGCCACATCTTTAGAGCTTTGTGTCCTCCGATAACCTGATGATATAAACAAAACTTGAACCAAAATAGCCTGTTCCTTAGCAGATAAAACCTAGTTTCCCTGAATTTGCTTTTTGTTTCTCACTCAGACTCTGCTTAGTCAGTCTGTGAGTCACAGCTACTCATGCTAATATAATAATCTTTCATCTACAATTAAGCAATTTTGCACACCAAAGCATTTTCTGTGGGACATGCTAGTCATACCCTTTATGTAGTAGTATTTCTTAATAGTAGTTTGTTCAAACTCTGTGCTTGCATAAGCAGAACATTTCAGTACCTAGGGTACTGATTTGGAGAGAACAATTTCAGAGCAATTCAGCCATTCAGCCTGGAAAGCATTTTTTCACTTGACCCCTTATAATAGCATCTAACTGACGTGCGAGTTATTTATTCTTTAAAAAACCCCAAACAACAAAACTACAAGCAAACAAATCTATTTTTACTCTTCCAGAGTAAAAGACCCCTAAAACTTGATTCTTTATGTCATTTTATTTGATCTTTTAATTCTACCTATAGGAATCATATGATAGGAGAAAGAAAAATTATATTGGGCATTGCAATTTGTGCCTTGTATAGAATGACTCCTTGCTCCTTAGACTTTTGTCTTTCCTGCATTATCCGGTGCCATCTCCTATTCTTTTTAATTATCAGAGGTCTTATTAAATTATCAAATTGCACAATAACTGTCTCGACAGCAAAAACAATGGTGATAAGATAATAATGGAGAATATGAGTAGATGATGTAATTTTAAGACATTGCTCTGAATCAGATGACTTCCACAGAGAAAATTCCAAAATAGGAAGGGTATACAATATTATCAGTAACTTTGCATGAAAATGCTGCAGATGTAAAATATGCATTGACAGAGATTCCTCTCCTCTCCGCATTAATCCCAAACTCTTTGGACTTTCTCTTTGCAGTTAGGCATTGTGGTTTGATTGGTATCCTATCTAAGGTGTAAAAATGTCAAGGGTTAAGCTCAGAACAATGCAAAGTGGTGAGATGACTCAAGGGCACCAGCTCATTCTGTGTTCAAAGATTCCTCTCCTCAGGTTTCCTTTACACAAAGGGACAGTCAGGACAGCTGATACAAATTGGTGACAAATGTGAATTCGAAGTAAGTACAAAACACAACTAAGAATCCTTATTCTGATAAAAACAATCTACACATGTAGAATATAGATTAACTAAAAAGTAAGTCTTCAGAAGCCACAATGGACCAACTGTCCCAAGTTGCAGGATATACCTGGAAAATCCTGAAAAAATGTTTCTCTTTTATGCATACATTAGAGAAGAAATCAAGGGAAGGATACAAATAAACACATTACAAAACCAGAGTTATTGAGAAGAAGCCTGGTGTTGGAGACTTACATTGGCAGGATTATAGGAGGCAGCTTAAATGGAGTAGTTAGTGGGAACAGGAAAATCAGGCAAAGTTTGGGCAAAGAAACATGGGGCAAAGTTTAAGGATCCAATAAAAAAACTCAAAAGTAGTCTTAGTAGCTGAGGAATCTAGAACTACAGAAAATATGGCAAAGAGAAACAAGGACAAGGGTAGGATACACACTGGTGAATGAAACTTGTTCTTTTTGAATGGGTAAAGGAATCTGTATCTTCACCCAAAGGTCATTTCAGAGGATTGCTATTTTACAGACAAAGTATCATGCTGCAATTCCCTTTAGGGCTGATTCACAAAGAAAATGCCAGCTTTCCTACTGTGACAAGTTTACTGTCAAGGCCATATAATGAAGAAATGATTTTATGTCTGCATTTCTCTCTTTTGGCACACATATGCACATTAGGAAATCAAGCATAAGGTTGGAAAAGGAGAAAATATGTTTGGTTATAATGCATATGATTCTCCATTGAAATTGTTTGCTTCTTCTAGTCTTGATGCTAATGAGTCACTCAGAACTCATGAAAAAAAAAGGGTTTCTATTTCATTTACTACATGAATACTAGGAGAGTTGTGCCTGACTCTGTAAACGGACATATAATGATAAATATGCAAAAATCATGCTGTAAGAATTTCAGCTAAGCAACCAAATGGAATGTTTTTAACCTCTGCTTCATAAACAATCTGTAAAATCTCTTGTTTCATTAACCCTCTATTTACACAGATCTTATTGAAATAAATGATTTATGAAACCCCTATCTATTTAAAATACTGATACTTTAGAATGGTTGGTGAGCCAATTCTTTAAAGGATTAAAATAATGTCCAACAAATAAGGATCATACATCAAATGACAGCAGACAAAATATATATTGATGATAAAATTACATGATAATCTGTTATATATTTCAACAGAATAGTGTTAGCATGAAAAGAAATATCACCAGCATATTATAACAAAATTAAAGACTACCAGAATTTCTAAACTCAAAAGATCTAAATTAATGGTCCATAGGTAGTCTTAATTCTGGCATTTCTTAATGCTGACTTGCTCAACTTTGCACCTGAAGAGGTTCTTTTAGCCTTTTTTTTTGGTTTGTGTGTGTGCTATATATATATATAAAACCTGATTTCCATATGTTTGCACAATGCAAATACTCTGGAAGGCACTTAAAATGCTTCCTTGCAAACAAAAGTTTCCAATCCTTGTAGATTAAGCAGACTGGCACAGTGAACAAGATTTCTATGTGCTATGCAAAAAGCTAGCTCAGTGGAACAAAGCTTAGTCTGGTTGTTCACAGACCCAGCTGTCCGCTTTCCCTTTTCTTGACCATGAAGTCTGAATGATGGGAACTTTTGCCCCAGAGCTTTATGTTTCCAGTATCTCAAACAACCAAATACATACTGTACTGCAAATACCACCACGGATTATCTATTTTACTCCATCTGCAGAAAATGCTTCAAGAGTTGAGGTCACACAGCTTTTATAACAGCAGTCTTTCTAGTGACATGAAAACAAAACCATCCAGAACCATTAAGCCCCAGCCAATCCCATGTACTGTATGTCCAGAGTTCTAAAAATTATCAAGAGTCAAGGACAGAAAGCGTCTGCTGACAGATTGTTGGTAGACAGGAGTAGGCAATAAGCAATGAAAGTAAAACTAAAAAATTTCAGCCCATGGAACTGAATTCTGAATAGCAGCACACAACCTAACAGTTTCTTTTTGTCAGGTGTTGCAAGGTTATCTTAGTTTGAAATGCTCTTATAAAGAGGCTAAACAGGTGGTGACCCTCTGTTGCAATAACATAATCTTTCCATCTTTTCTGCCCTGGGGTAAAAGAATTAGTCATTAAACTTCTAATAGCAATTAGCAACATCTTGTGATGTTCCATGATGGAATTATTTTTTATAAAATTATCTACAGGAAATCACTGAATGTGCACTGTCATTGTGCTGAGCACTAGAGAAACATAAAGAAGCAGACAGTCCTGCCCTAGAGAGCTTATTGCCTAAACCAGTTTTTTTTATTTTCCGTTTTTTAAAACTGGGTTCCTCCATCATGTTGCCTCTGAAAGGGATGCATGAGAAGGGATAAAAGAGGAAAGAGGCATACAAAATATACTCAAAATACAATGGATTTTCTAGTCTCACAGCTGGAAAACCTGGTCTCTCGTATAGTTTCTAAACAAGGAAGGAGACTGCTGCTTCTGCTGTACCTTGTATCTCATCTGTTGTGAAGTTGTGTTGTTTCTCCCTCTACAGATGCTATAAGGGCTATCGGATGTCATAATAAGCATGCCCACAGTTATACACTGATGGCCTTGTGCTCCAGAGAGGACGATGGCATGGGGAAAAGGAGGAGAAACTCTGCCCTTTGTGAAGAAATAGTTTTGCTTTTTCTACCTTTTGAATATGTCTGTCACTAAGGGCAATCACTGTAAGTTTCAGAGTGCCGCATTTATTGTTTAGCAAATAGATAAAACTAATTGGAAGGTTTACAGTACACCTTGGGATTCAGACCCAGAAGGGTAACTAGCTGGACAGAAAGCACAAAACCATGTTTTGAAAGTGCCATCTAGTGGCTCCCTACACCTCCCTACACAGGGTTTTTTTAATGTCAGAAAATGAAGTTCATCTCCCCGAAATTTGGGATCAGACCAATGCTGGCTTCAGAGTCAGGGCAGTGAGTGGTGGGACCTTGGTAGCTATTTGCATCCTCAATGAGAAGTGCAAATGCTGTAACCTGGCTCAGCTAGAGGATGGGACAGAGAAATATGTGCAAACGTACCAGGAATGGGGATGTGAAGCTCACTGCTGCACCTGGATGGGAAAATGGATGTGTGCTTGTGGAGAAATCTAAATAAAAGTCACACAGAAAAAACCTGAGGTTTATTTTACTGTTGGTAGGCCACCAGGTTTTTTCCAGGGAGACCACAGCCCCCAAATTAAGGTGATTAGATATAGAAATGTTTTTCTGAAATGCTGTTCTTAAATACCATAAAATATGACTGCAGACCTATAAGGGTCTCCAGAGACAGAGTGAAAAACACATTATTTCCTTAGAAACATAGGGGAAAAGCAACTGAGACAAACTGGATAGAATTTAGCAAACCAGTGGCAGTTTTATTTGGATGGAGTGCATGGCTTTGTAACTAGAAAACTGCAGAAAGGAAACTAATCTTTGTTTTCAACTAGATTTTGCTGCTGCAAAGCCAAAAGCTTCATAGCTGTGTGTAACAACGTCAAACTGAATTAATTGGTTCCCAAGAGCCATTGATTTCTGTATGGGCTCTCGGTAGCTTTATTACCGTACAGTTTGGAGTTCTTAGTTTGGTATTAGTTCCTTGTAGAAATAATCTCTTTGATTACTGATCATTTTCTGCAACTGACAAAGGTGTTGTAAGCCAATATAAACCAGTGTGTGATTTCATCGTTAACAGTTTCAGAAGACCAGAAATCATTCTTGGAAATTATAATTTTAATTCACTTGCTACTAATTTAAAACTCAAATTTTCTTCTGGGTTTTGCTCCTATGGCTGGAATAAATTGACTGTTTATTCCTATTTCCATTTACACACATCTATCAGAATGAGTGACACTGAAAAAAGATAAAACCTCTGCAAGAAGCAGTTAGATAAGTAGAAAATTTATATTCATATATCATTTAAAGGCAAAGTATAACTGTCTTGAAAGTGGTCCGGAATTATATTTCATTCAATACCAAGAGTGTTTTTCTGCAATTCTGTTTTCATGTGGCACTGGTGGCTGAATATATGATGAAATATATCACAGAAACACCTTGTTTAGCTCCAGTTGTGCTCTGAAACTTGCCACTTCAATGTGCTTAATAGAAATATTTAGTTTGACATATGTTGTTTGGGTTTTTTTCAGACTATGCATCCTTTTCTGAATTGGGGTCAGAGTAGTAATGTTGCACTATACAAAAAAATAGATGTTCATATTATTGCTATATCTGTTTTTAATAATTTAGGAGACACTCAGGCACCGTTGTGTTGAGGCCTAGACATACTTCTTAATCTTCTAAGATCCAAATAAATGATATAACATATGAAAAAAATCCAGAAAGAAGGGAAAGGAACCCACAAAGAACCATCCGGACAGGAATCTCAAAGACCCATGGAAGTAAGTCTGTTTATTTAATTCAATATTACACTTTCCCAGTCTTTAGAGTTTAAATTAGTTACATCTGAAATGTTAGGAGGGAACATAAATTTCTTGGTTTTGATAGATATCTTGATATTAAACCAAATTATGTCCCCTGAAATGAGGAATATGTGAGTGATAAGGAGCCATAAAGCTAGGGAGAATGGCTGTGTTTTTCCTAATTCTACTGATGCATAAAATTATGCTAAAAAATTGATGTTTTCCTGCCTCTCCCACACAAATGTTTTGGATATTCATTCTCTAATCAAAAGCATTATCAAATGAAAGAAACTCTTCCCAGAAACCATTTTCAAAAAGAGAAGTTTTTTTTCTGTAAAGCTTGAAAAAAATAATTCTTTACCTCACCACAGAACATTTGCAAAAGCAAACTGCAGATGCTTCCTCAAGTTCTCGTCATACGACCTTTAATTTAAAATGTGTTTCTTTTTAAAACATGGCCCATAAACATGCTTGGGGAGCTCAACAGAGTCGTTTAGGAGACAGAAACTTGAGACATGTGGTTGAAATATGGTGAGGAGAAAAATAGAATGCATTGCATTAAGGACATTGAGAGTAATTTCAAATGTGATTTTCTAATTATTTTCTCTTCTAATGGGATCCTGGAGAGACAAGGGACAAAGACAACAAGGTACATGGCCAGCAAGCTAATTGGCCTTGATGTTTGTCATTTATTGTTTGTACTTAGCCTTTAAGTTTGTAAAACAAACCCTTCTGAGGTAAAGCACTCAAGCAAACAACTGTCAAACTCTTTGTCTGCTGTTCTGATCTTCAAGATGACAAAGGAAATGGTGCTTTGCATGTACAAATTCTTCTGCTTATAGGTGATCTATTAATAAACTGATAGAGTTTGTTATATCAGTGTATTTGACAAAGTAATCAGTCCAAAATTTCATACTGAGCTATTGCAGTCTGTAATTGTTAATTAGCCTGTTAATTGTTGCGTTAATTGTCAGTCTCAGCAGAGGGAGGACTAGAGAGGTGGTTGGGGCGAAATCCGAGTTTAATCTCTTGTTGCCAAAAGAAATTCTGTTTAGGCATCTGCCACTGCTTCTGCAGTCTGGACCTTACTCTTTACTGCTAGCATGCCCTCACTGACAAATAAGAGAAGGAAACTGGTGTACTGCAAGAATGTAAAATTATTGCATCTTTAGGTTTCTGCATAGTTCATAATTTTTGTCTGGCAGGGAAGAGAAGTCTTACATCAAGCTGATACTAAAAACTCAAATAAGGCCCAGGCATTGCTCCTTCCTTTGCTATAGCTGTGGTATGTCTGGGCCTTGTGTCTGATAAGAGATGTACACAGCCTCTACTGGAGCTGGCAAGACTTCTCCTCAGCCATGATGTGGTGTGAGGACAGGTTGTGTTAGGAGGAAGAAAATCCCTTGGTGGACTGTGTCATAATGGAGTGACTCGCAGGTCTTGCCAGGAGATGTAAAGTACCCCCAGCCGCTGCCTGCCTGCTCTGCATCCAGAGAGTGGGAGAGGGACCTCTGGGAAAATTCACACTCTTTCCCAACTCACCTCTTCCCAAAGAGAAGGTACCTGAGGAGATTCCAATTTCCTCCATGCTGAGGCTCTTATTTCTTCTAGCCATAGCAAGGAGGAGCAAGGAAAACATACCCTCTGCAGGTTCCCTCTGTAGGCACATTAGCCAGCCACAGCCTTGCTGTGGGGAGCCTTAACTAATGGATTTTTCCCTCATGCCACAGAATGAGGGGCAATCACACAACACTCTGCATGTCATTTTCAATGACATACACTGGTATGTCATTGAAAAACAGCAGTATTAGTAGTCCTGAAAAAAAGTCTGAACTTCTATCTCTCTTTTTTAGAAAAAGTTGTTTTCAGGATTTCTATTTCAGAATGTAATAATAGTCTTTTAAAATACCACATGACTGTACACATCTTTCTTAAATCACTTCCACAAAGCCCAGGTATTAGCCCAAGTAAGGTATGCAGCTGCCTTCTTTCTTTCAGAGCTCTGCTCTGGGTCATGGCCAAGCCCCTTGCAAATAAATTGTTGGAGTTTTTCTACAGGCAGTAAAGAAAGGCTACTGTAACCACCTCTGTTACTCATCAGCTAATTTACTGGAAACCTGGAGACATGTGTGACTGGCCAAATATTCTTTCTGGAGAGAGCACAACGTTCCCTTACAGAAAATAATTTTAAAGGCATTGCAGTTTGCCAAATGATGTATCCAGATTGATAGCTGTGTGAAGAACAGTCTTTTTGTTGACTGCCTTTCTAGAAGACTATAAATTCTGCCAAAAAGTTAAAGGGAGAGGTGTGTATGGAAACAGCACCAACTCTTTAGCCATTCTGAATCTTAGCACTCTGGATGAAATTTTGGTTTGTGAAATGAAGACTATCTTTCCTTCCTTTATCCTCTTGTTTTGTTTGTAGGAGAAGGTAGAATCAATAAAAATTCAACAATTGTTCAATAAAACTTCAAGAGGTGAAAGTAAATCTAACAAATTGGATACAATGTTCTAGAGGATTTCTCTCTAAAACAGCCCTCATACTTCGACAGAGTAGAAAGGCACGAACTGATTGCAACAAGTATTTGGTGCATTAAGAAGTAAAAATGTACTTTGGTTAAAAATAAGAAAAGCATGTGTTTTACAGCAGATATAAGGATGGTACCTTAATTCATCAAATTAAGTACAGACTTGCTGCAGAGTGCTTATGGATTGCAGATTTTATAAGGAAGAACATTCTCTGAAAAAGCAAACAGGAAACCACATTTTAAAAATGATAACTGAACATATGGAGATTTTCACATGCATGATGCGAAGTGAGGAGTATGTTTTACTGAGAGACAGTGCTATAGCTGATTCTGAGTCACAACAGGCCTGTGTCAGACTCCAAAGCACAGCTCTACTCTAAACTGGATTAAAGAGCTCATGTCTCAAACCAGAGCTGGATTACAAGACCTGGGGAGCCACTTTAAAATGATGTTCAGATATCTGTGTTTTGACCTACAATGCTTAATATTTGGAAGTGTTTCTTTAATCTAGTAAGAGGGTATGGAGAAAAAGCAAACAGGAATACTCCCAACTGGCCAGGAGAAGACCATCAAGCAGCAAAAGTTGGAGATTTCATAAAGGGAAATGCTCAAAGCACTAACTTCGAAAACTTCTGCAACAGTTAAGAAAAATGTTGGCTTTGCTCATATGAGCTGAAACTAGCAGCATCGAAAAGTAAAGGGGATGTTTTTGGAGCGAAAAGGACTTTCAATAGGGTCTCTCTTAGGAAGGAGAGGAATTTGGAAAAATCAAGCTGGGAATATCTGTAGAAAACATAAAAGTTCCCCTTGCAGAGACATGCTATTATGTGATGTCTGCAGCTGCGGATATACTCCTGCTGGGCTGGCTGAGCCATAGGTTATCTGTGTAAGCTGTAAGGCCAGGACCATAAAAGCACTAAACCGTAAGCAGCAGGATCCTGTGCAGACAGCTCAGCCTCCAGGTTATCCAAATGGATAATTCAGCCACAGCACTGCAACACGAGTTTAGCATGAGGCAGCCCATGACATTCCCATAGGGCTGCACCTTCGTGCTTGCTGAATCCATTGTCCCTGGGTTAGTGGATATAGCAGCTCTGGCTGGTCTGAGGGAATGCACAGGCTGCTTGCTATACATATTTGATAGAAATTTTAGAAAAAAGCCAAAGGAGCTGTCTAGACTGCTGTTGGGGATTGTTGCCAGTGCTGTTTGTGTATGAGACTGGGCTGCTGTGCTATTCAGTCACTGAGATGCTGTTATGAAATGCTGTCCCTTCTCACTTTTTTGTATTTCATAAGGTGTGCAAGTGGATCAGTTCGATGAAGAACTGTGCTGCTTTAGCCCAAAGGGTACCACCATTACACAGCATCATAGGATCAACTTGATTGGAAACGACTTCTGGGATGATCAAGTCCACCTGTGACCCAACACATGTTGTCTAGCAGACCATGGCACTGAGTGTACATCCAGTCTTTCCATACACGTCTCCAGGGATGATGACTCCACAACCTCCCTGGGCAACCCAGTACAATGTCTAACCACCCTTTCTGTGAAGAAATTCTTCTTAATGTCCACCCTAAAGCTCCCCTGGCACAGCTTATGACTGTGTCCTCTTGTCCTGTCACTGGTTTCCTGGAAGAAGAGGCCGATCCCCACCTGACTATACCCTCCTTTCACACAGCTGTAGAGGGGATGAGCCTCCTTTTCTCCAGATTGAACAACTGTAGCTCCCTCAGCCACTCCTCATAAAACTTGTGCTCCAGACTCTTCACGAGCTTCATTTCCCAGTGACATCTTATTATCTACTCAATTACATAATCTGTTCTATCTGCTGCTCCGCCCTGCACGTGTCAAGGCATGTCCTAAGGACTGGGATTTGCCTGACGGGGTGATAGGAGTGATGTGTATGTGTCTACGTCTGTCTCTAAGTAAATAGATATATATTTTTTTATATATAATCTCAGCTGCTTATTGGAGCGCCTCTGTCAGTCAGGGACGACAGCGACAGCCCTGCAGCCAGAGTGCCGCCGGTGCGGAGGTGCCGGGGCCGGCAGAGGCAGCACAGATCCGTGCACAGATCCGTGTCCCGGGGCCGGGGCCGGTCCCGGCCGCGTCGGCGGCTCCGGGCGCCCGGCAGAGAGCGCTGATGCCGCTGATGCGGCGGGACCGGCACCTGCTCCACGCACGTGTGTCTGCACACACTTTACATATCTTTTTCCCGCTAAGCTGCTGGGTTTTGCTGTATTTAACGGGATACAGCGGTGATGAGAATTCCTCCCGCTTTGCCCAGGGCTGGGCGGGAGGGTAACAGCGCGCTGGGACCTGGTGCAGGGGGTTTACGGCCGCCCCCATCCTCCTGCAGGGAAAAGCTTTACAGTTCCTCCCACCTGGCAGCTGTCTCCAAAGAAATAAAACGAATAGGTCCGTTCTAATTTTTTAAAAGGAATTTTCTACCAAGCATCTGACTAGTAAGTAATTAAGGTGACTGCCACCATCCCCTCTGGACCTTCTTTTTCTTTTTGTGATGGCCGCTGTGGAAGCGTTTGGTGGGGTAGAGGTGGCGAAAAGGTTTTGTGCTGCTCCACACCTCACTGGGTTTTGTATGGCACTCCCTCTACTCCCCTTGAAGTTTTCCAGATCACTGCCTATAGTCTATAAAATACACCCTTTGTGCCGTTTGGGGTTGCTGTAGGCTGTCACAAGTGTGCTTTATAGAGGCTGATTTTAATTTTGCCACCCAGGAGAGCAATAGTCCCAAGGAAACGAAGCGTCTTTCTGCTATTGTTATGTATCTGAAGGAAAAATCCTGGCACATAATTGGCTAAAAAATAGTAGTGTGATGAGTCAATAAATTTCTATTGTGTAGCTTTCTCTGAGTGAACAATGCTATGTTCTGGGCTAGTGTTAAACAATTAGTTCACATATCATGCAAGTAAGCACATCCTAGATGGATGCATCTGGGGGTAGTAGAAATTATTCATGTCTGGCCAATCAGACAGCAGTTTTTAGTTATTTCAGTGTTTAACAGAATACCTCTCTGAGCTCTGGGAGACCTTGTGAGCAATTGAAAATACAATAACTTTACAAGGAGAGCCAGCAGTTTTTCCTCACTCTCCACCCAGAATAATAATATATGGCAAAATACCCTGTTCCCACAACGATTATCCTTTCTATCCTCAAGTGTTCAAATAGATAGCTGGGCAGGATTGACAGACCTCTTCTTCACTGTTCTGCTGTTTGGGCTCCCTATCCTTTCTTTAGTGGAAGAGTTTTTGGCATTAACATTTCTATCAGAACAAGGCAGAAAAAGAGATGAGTCTGTCCAGGAGTCCACCAGAAATGAGCAATAAGGACAGAACCTTAGTGTCAATGCAACTGGCTGTGTTGAGGAAAGTAGGACAAAACAGAATGCAAATCAGCCATATTGTTTCTTTTGAATTTCAACCATCATCTTCCTCTGTAGTTCTATTTAAAGGCAAAATATTTTATCTTTGATTGTACGTGGTAAAAAACATTTACAAGGAATGTACCTTCATCTTTGGTACTCGCCATTATGCTTGAGTTGTTTGGAGTAGTTCTGTGTAAATTCCTGCAGCTATTTTTATTGTTTTGTGTTACAATAGTGCCTAGAAATCTGAACTGTGTTTGCTAGATGCTGTTCAAATATGTACTACAGGACAATCCCTCCCCAGAAGGTTTTCAGGCTAGCTCTTTGCTGAGAATAGAATTTAATTCCTGGATTTCATTTCTTGGTACATTTGAGTTCTTGAATCTCAAGAAAACTGTATTTTTCTATGTTCTCATTTAATCGCAGTTATTGCCTAATTAGAAGTTAATGTTTTTCGAAGGGGGACTACCAAGAGAGTTTTCAAGCAATGTGAAGCATGCAGAGTTTTGAACTAAGTCTCTACAGATGGTGCATGCCTACAGACCCCACTAGATCTCTCTAAGGCATTAAGGAAAAGTTTAGTATTTTTCATTTTGTGCAGGGAGATTAGTGGTCCCCAGCTGTGCCTGAGACCATCCATTCTTCACAGCTGGCCCTTCTTAATAATCCCCAGGAAATAGGCTATGTTCTAATTTGGTGAGTTTTAAATACAAACTGAGCAAAATTCATTGAAACACAATAGTGGAAAAATTGAAATCATACTTTATGGTGGATCACATTTGTGAAGAAGTAACTTTTGTGGGGGTAAATAAGTAATATCCCAGGTTCACTTCTGGTGTTTATTTTGATGTATTGTGGTAAACGTAATCAGAGAACGTAAGCATCCCAAGTACACTCCTTCATGAACCCAAACGCATTTTTTTCTGGCTGATGTTTTTTGACTTTACATGGGAAGAGAGATGTCAGCACAGAAAGGCACTGAACATAATGACAACTGAATTAACAGTCCAGAAGACTGTTAATCTTAATGATGCCAAAACCCAGGACACTAATGCTTTGTTTTTATTCATGTTCAAAACTTTGAAGTGGATTCCTCTACGTGTGTTTCCTGAAAAGGTGAAGTTTCTCAGAACTGTCAACTCTGACAATGAATCATCAGCAGATAATTACAATGGAGAGCTCATTAGGGTCGTGTGTGCTTTCTAGCCAGGTAGGTCTGGCTAAAAACCAGATCCAGCTTCTCTGTTGCTCCAGTGCATAGTCTCCAGCTGCAAGGACTGTGCCTGGCTGTCAGTGTTGCAATGGGGGTTCTCTTAGTTTGCGTGTCTGAGGCCTTGAAGCAGACACTAATTTGCTCCTAGTTCATTCCCAGCTGGTGCCTGGCTTTTTCCAAAATTCCAATTACTTGAGCACACTAATTTATCATCCTGCTGGTCAAGAACAAATCACAAAGCAGAAAGTACAATGCTTTGCAAAAGAACTTGCTAAAAACACAGGCTTTTTTTTCATAAGCCATGTAAAAGAGTTAAAGAGTGAGTTGCAGGAGAATATTGTCTCACAGCCTTCACCTTACAGCTTCTAAAGCTTCTGAGGGCTTTCATCACTATGAGGAAAATCATCACTGAGTAAAATATTCTGAGTTCTTCTTGTTCCTGCATCCCCAGACTGTTGATTTCTGTCCAGCCTCAGTCCAGCTCTCATCCTTAGGCTGCATCTACACTTAAAGGTGTTTATTTGAGAATGTAATTTTTTCTTATTTTCTGTTGTGGAGTTTTTACTGAACCAGTTATTCCTTAGGGATAGCTGGGCAGAGAGTTGGTTTCCAACAGTGCTAAATCCTTGTCTTCCACTATGGCAGAGCCATTCATCTGGCAATTGACAGCAATTGTTTGGTTTTACTTTAACACTGTTAGATGTTAAGGGGAGACTTTAGCACACAGGGAATGGTATTTCTCCAGGAACAAAAAACCCAAAAAAACCAAACAAACAACAAAAAAATTAAAGAAACATTGTGAGATTTTTTTTTTCCTTTTTTTTTCTTTTTTTATCTTTTTCCTAAGGCCGTTGAAATTTGGATTTTCCAGTATAAAAAAACCAAAACAACCCTCTGATTTCTCCATCACTGAAGATGCTAAAACGGTTGTGCACAAGGAAATAAAAGTGCCCAAATGAAGGGTTTTCTTACACTTCCATGGTCTCCTTGCCCTTCCTAAAATGTGACTGCATAAATGAGTAATAAAATGTGCTTTGTATCTATTAGAGGCAAAAAAGTTCTCAATCCTGTATGTTTTTCAACAACTGGATGAAAATGGGCATGTGAAAATCTTAGGTTGTGAAATACTCAACATTTTTCTTAGAAGTCCACTTAAATATTGAAAATTACATGTTAAAGTTGAGGTTATGTGAAACATTTTTAAATGCCATACTGGTTTTCTTTAGTGTTTTCAGTAAAACACACCTTTTATTTCTTTTGAACTAGTAAGTCTTATTTTTGTTCTCTTCAAACATGTAGAGTAGCATGTTAATCAGAATATTAAGTATCTGAGCCTCATCCATTGTAAAACAGTGTGGTTTCCTGCATCTCTCCCACAAAGAGTCTAATCTGGAAATTGTTTTATTTATAGTGATTGGGGAATTGTATGACTTCTGAGTGTTCTTTGTCCTTGCATGGAGGCAAACCTCATGTGACATAGCAGAAAACACTGGTGATGACTTCTTTTTCACACGGGCACATTTGTGAGCATGAAACACAGGCTGCATCTCAAATAGCAAATCACTTTTGCAGCATGGGTGTGTTTCTGAAGCCCAGGTCCTGAATGTCCTCTCTCATGGGGTTTACTTTCATGTCTACAACTTATAAGGCGGCTTTCACACCACACAGAACTGGAAGATGCTCTCCAGTGGCTGTGCTCCACCTGTTAACTAGTGTTCCATCCATGGGAGCACATGAGAACTAAAGGCAAGCAACCTGCCTTGAAATGTGTTTGACACAGATATCTCAGGCTCAGCCCCAACAATTTTGGGCTGCTCCGCTTGTTAGTGCAGCCATAACCTGGGGCTCATGAAATACAAAAGCCAAAATAACGGAAGAGTGAGTGTGTTATTAAATGTGCACCTCTTTTTCATAGGATATTCATTATCC